CAACCACCCTCCTGCCCACCCCCTCTCTCTCCTGCCTGCACACCGATCCTATCCTCCCATCCGTTGTACCTACCTGCCTACCTCTCCTTCCCTCACTGCCTGCCTCCATTCATACCTACTAGTCTCCCTACTTGCCTGCCTGTCGACTTTCACCCACATACCTACCCCTCTTCTGTCTCTCCCCAAGTCTGTCTGTCTGTTCCTCCCTCAATGTGTCTACTTGTCTCCCCCCATGCCTACGGCTCACGAGGCGGTTCTTTGTGAAAATGGATGTGGGTGACAATCTGCTTTGATTCTACGCCAGGGCAAATTTAATTTATGGGTTGGAAAACCGGTAGGGACTCCACAGACTGTTTCGCATGCACTCTCTTGTCGAGTCAGTGGAAATGCAAAAAAATAGTCTGCCAAGGACCCCTGCTGTTTGTCCATTTCCCCCTTCCCGCCAACAGTTCACCAAGTGTCTTTGTGACTGACTGTGTTGTAAACTCTCATATTCTGAAATTACTCTCTACTCCTCTACCTTCCTTGTCTCCTTCCTCCTCCCTCCTTAGTACACATGCACGCATGTAATTATTCACGGAACACATGTATGTGTAGCCTGTTTATGTGCGTGAGTGGGAGAGGAGGAGAGGGAGAGAAAAGATGGTAATGCGAAGCACAAGGCCTCAATAAGCCCTACCGGGCCCCTATTTGCAACAGGTCGGCCGCCCTAAGTGAAGGCAGGCTCGACAGACGACAAGAGGCCTATTTTGGGACTACGTCGCAACTGGGGTAAAATTCAGGCAGTTGCGCAGCGCCAGTTGGTTGAAGGCGCCCAGGCCCTGGCCTCCTTTATCAAATGTATCTAAGTCAGCCCCTGGGCGAGATACGCAGCATGGACCCAACTCAGACTGTGGGCAGTTGGGCACGGGTAACTGTCGGTAGCCCTGGGCCTGATTCGTTTGGACTGAGGCTCAGCCTCCCTGGGCCCACCGGAAGCTTCTGGGCCGGGGCCCAGTACCGCAGCACAGCACGCAGCAGCAGGCCACTTCGATATAGGGAACGGCCTGCCCACGCACTGGTCATTCGGGCACTGGCTGCATTGTGCGCAAGCGCTGCTGCGCTATCGCTGGCCAGCGCTCACGCGCTCACGGGCGAGCTGGAAGGAGCAGGCAGCCATAGCCGAGCTGCGCTGCTGTATGCTGGATGAGGCGCATGGTGGTCCTTGCGTGCAAGTGGCATCTGTGAGTTGGGGAACGAGGTTGTGGGTGATACGAGAGACATACCTGGTGCTTGAGGCGTGCGGCATTGGCCGAGATCTGTTCGTACTTGGGAAGCTGTTGACGTCATCAGTGGCATTGTAGTCTAGGCTAGATAGGATCTGCCATTCGTAGTCTGGGCACCGAGCGCCAGATAGGATATCAACATTGGCTCTTCGTTGATGATGATGAGACTATTCCCGCATTGTCAATTATGAGCTTTTGCTGTGCTCTTATTTGGTGAAACGTGTGATGCAATTCTGCAATTGGTTCGAGGTCACGACTATCTGGTCTCATGTGTATGATGCTGTTTGATTTCTGAAGTTCGCTATCGCTCATCTTCCTAGCAGTAATGCATGATTATACTTTATACAAGGGTCCTGCTCGCCCTGCGCTGCTGCCTTCTCCACCATCTCCCTTCCCATGTCTATGCATGTGGCAGGAGTGATCCACTAGAGAGATGGATTCAGAGTTATACAGTGCTTTAAAGGCAGGATAGGTTTGCTGGTGTTGCAGACTAAGTGGTGTTGCTGCCAAATTTCAACAGTCCAACTTCTTTTCAAAGACAGGGTCCAAAGTTTCATGACTGGTTGGCATTTTGGTTTGGTCAGAAGGCCTTTGTGTTGTTCACACTGTCCATAACGATGTTGAATCCCCTTGTAAAAATCTCTCTTTGTTGTTCCAGTCACACACAGCCCAATGGAAGCACAGATTGCAAAGCGCTGGGGGATGATGTAAGCTGGCAGCAGCAGCCTGCTGCTACTGGTTAAATACATTCTTCCCCTGCCCCAGCATGTGTCCTCCGTCGACATCATGTATGAGATTGGGATGCACCTGAGGCTCTGAACTCATACCAGTACCATTGCCCTCAAACAATTGATTCTTACCCTTGTAACACCGGGGGAAGTGTGAGTTGGCACCCACAGCCATCCTGGTACTGCTGCTTGCTTTGATTGGCTTCTCCCATAATTGCCCAGTCTATAACGTTTCTGGTGCTGGAATGAAACCTAGCAGGATGAACCAAAAGTTGAGCTGCAGTGCCGAGCTGCGCGCCAAGCCAGACACCACAAAGGGTGAAACCTAGGCCCTGAACTGACATTGATACCTTGGGTGCATTCGGAAACAACCGAATTAGAGATCTGGTCGCTCTGCTCATCCTGTTGAACATGGAATGACGACATTGACACAATGAAACATGGCATTAAGGACTACTTTTTTTTGTTTTCAAAGAGGGAGGTCAGTTCCGAGCTCTTTGTTTTCAAGAAAGGGGGTTGGTCCCTAACATGATTGTACTTGTCTGCTTCCATCATGATGGCAAGCCTTATGATCTATTTACTAACAGTTACATGTGTGTACCATTCAGACACGTGGCCTGTCTGTGGCATAAGTTTTTTTTTTTTTTTTTGCTGCGCAGGGGCCATATTATCTTCTCTGTATCGTTCGAATTTTAACGGATGTCCACGTCAGACTGATTTTTTATTTTTATTTTTTTTTTTTTACAAAACAGGGCCTTATGGTCCTGGATCCTTCTATTCTGGGGAGCGTCAGTCCGGTTCCTATTCCACCGGCAAGTCAAAACATACATTACATTGAAGAATCACGCACGCTTCCTTCCGTCTGGCCGAAGGACCCCTGAGCAGCATTGATTGYTCCACCTTGGTGGAGGATTGACTGTCAGCTTGCSGTGCTGCACWCTTTCCTCTCAGACCTGGAACCCAGATCTGTCAGATAAATCTATTCCTTCTAGGAAGAGGTCGCCCTTTGTCAAGTTAGCAGGTGAACACCCATTTATCCATCCTGCTCCTGTGCCACAGCCTCCCCTGTCCCTTCTTACCTGTCCTCCCCTTTTCTGCTTGTCACTAAAACCCTAGACCCTAAAACCCTCGTCACATCAGACTGATTTTTAAGCCTCAAATCTGACAAATATTGTTGGGCCACCTGCCTATAATCATTGTGGTGGTTCTGTTGATGGATGGCTTGGATGCATCAGGTCCTATGTACAGTCCTACAGGAGAGGCTATACCATGGCCACCACTTGATTATGCACAGTTCTGTGAATCCCTTGACTTGTCCCAATCTTGTCTGTCATACCCATCCTGCAAGCTGACAGCTGGCTGCTACCCTCACTATTGTGAGCTGCACGACCCATGTTGCCCTATCAAGACTGAGGATGCCTGCATCAACGCTACTGAGACTCTGGGATGCGCTTGGGCTGAAGAGTGTGTACCATTTACAGGTCAGAGTCATCTCCCTCTCCATCTTATTGTCAGGGTGTTTTGCTGAAATGTTCATAGGAACATGTCCTCTGATGTGTGGTCAGAAATGTGCTCAGAGTGCCCTTTTATGAGGTGTTGTCAGCAATGTGAAAATCAGTCTGTTCATGATACATGCCCAGTTGGGCAATGTATGTAGAGCCAAGGATCCGCAATGTGATGAAAAGGACTGTATGGACAATGCAACGTTAGTGAAACATCAACAGGCAATGTACATCCTGACACATACGAAATGGCACTCGATAGCGCAACGGAAGACTTCGAGGTAAGTCCTGACCTGACCTGGACTGACACGACATCCCATCATACATCACACATGTGAGAGGAAGAGGAGGGACTGCACACCAAGAAGAAAGGTCCCTCCTTGTACACGCACATGGGGAGATACCATAGACGAGGGATGGAGGGAGAGGGAAGATGAAGATGGAGGCGAGGGAGGAGTCCAAGATCGCGATAGCCAAGTCCAAAATAGTCCCTGGCCGATGTCCAATGACTCCAATCAATGTCTGCCTCAAAAATGTCGAATCAGATCCTGGGCATCATGCCCTTGGTAACCTCTGCCAATATCCTCTGCTGAAAACCTCTCTCACTCTCGTATCTGAAGAAGAAGAAGAAGAAGATGAAGAAGAGGAAGGAGGGAGGAGGAAGGAGGAAGGAGGAGAGAGAGATGAGATGGAGGACGAGGAGGGAGAAGAGAATGTTGTCCTCCTTGTTATCTCACCTACAGGTGCTACCGTCGTGCTGGCTATGTCACCGCCACCGCGCGGAGCGCAGCTATGGCGCCAGGTAAGTGCGCTGCCGCAGGTAAGCCTCCGTCTCTCTCTCCTCCCGTGTGCGTCTCCTCCGGGTCCAATAACGCAGCGCCCTAGGGTAGCGCAGCCTCTATCCAGCAGCATGTCGCTCACAAAGTGAGCGACCAAACTCTCTGTTGAGTCCGGCCTCAGCCCAACTATATGTAGCGCTGGGCTGACTGGGCGGACTCAGGTGCGGCCTCGAAACGGCCTACTAAGTCTGGGTCCCTACCGGGTGCCCCGACTGCGCTGCTGATGCAGCGAGGCTCCAAAACACGCTTGGCCTTGAAAAATGCCTGGTCCCTCACCTAGGTTCCGGCAGAGCTCCCGCAATCGGTGGGTAGACCTCCCAAGGCCTTGATGCGCTCCTACAGGTTTCCAATCTGCCGCCTTCCTCTCGTAACCACAAACTAGACTTAGAATAAGAACGACAGAAGAAGGGGGTTCGGACTCTCGAGATCCAGGAAGGGGACAAACTCAACCCCCATGAGAGGGCCTTGATACCTTCAAATGCCCGAGGGCCCCGCAATGGCAACCAAAATGTGCAGCAAGATTGGCCACACCTGAAGCCAAAACGCAGAACAAGGATCCTCTTACAGTCTCCGAGTCACAGCGATAACCCCTTGCAAAGCCTAACCTCGACTCCAAATCACAGTAGGATGGTCAGATCGTGGTCAAAACGCCGAGTACTGACTCTCTGACTAACCTCCTAGTTGCGTGTAGTGACCCTTTTGAAGAGCCTGACCACCCTCAAATCGCCGACCCGAACCTCTGACCAACGCAACTGCGCAGCCTAAGAAAGGCATCGTTCAAATAGAGCACAACCCTGTGCTCTATTCGAAGTGCAGCTATGGGCAGCAAAACACAGCGGTGTTTAGAAGCAAAAATAGTAGCGACACAATGGAAATAGAGCGGCCGCAACTCTGAAGCCCGCAACAGCAGCAATGGTAGCCGCACACAACCAGAACAGCGATTCGCACCGCAAAAACGCAGCAAGAGTCAGCTATGCATGGAGACTACGTGTAGCAAAACACCCAACGGCAATGCTCAACAATTGGTAGTTGTACTTAGCAGAAACTCAGCAAAGGGGGAACACATCAGAGCGTTGTTCAGCAACGCTCAACAGCAGCATCGCCCAATAACTCAGCAACACAACGGTGCACAGCAACTCAGGAAGCCTGCAGTTAGCCGAGCAGCATAACTAAGGTAAGTGCAGCACGACGATCACGAGCATAGCTGGGAGCACCGCGACCCCGAGCAACAGCGGACCTTGACGAAGAGTATATTCAACAATGCAATCTCGAAGAAGAACAGAAATGGCGGGATCTCCGTGATGATCACCCAATGTAGTGCCAGGACCACGACTACATGCACGAGTAGTACGGGATTCCAACCCAAATCTCACCAAGTGTGCGGAATGAGAATGAATCTCCCTCTAGATTAGGGCTAGGTACGTACCCACTGCTCGCCCTCCGTACTGTTGCATCCGGCCTTTTGATATGCGCGGCTTTCTCTCTCTCTCTCTCTCTTGCACACGTAATTCACTGCTGCTCTTCCTCCAGATGTTGACTAGGTACATCGACCTTGGCAAGAGCAAGCACGGTGCGACCGAGCTGGCAACTGTGAGGAGGAACATCGATGATCGCGATAACGACTAATGATGAGCAGACACGGAAGTGGACGTCTCATATACAACCAAGAAGATGATCACCTCGGCGATGACAATGGTGGCGACCAGACCGACCTTCGTGACCTGATCGAGGATGCCCAGCAGGATTACGACGAGAGCTGCTACGGCGGTCATGAAGACGAACTCCTCCACAATCACGTCGAGAGCTGGAGAGAACGAGAGGAAACTTCCGTTAGAACATGGAGAGATACCCCTCTGGCCAACGGCGCGCGGCTCCCGACCCCTTACGAACGGGGGAAGGACCCTGAGCCACATAGCAATCCGCCCACTGATGACGACCACGATCTGTCCGCAATGGCGGCTTCCTTGACGCGCACCTTAAAAACAGCCGCACTGGACGACCGTGATCCCAAATGAAGGCGAAGATCAGCACCGCAGTGACTACTACGGAGACACATAGTACGAGGAGCACGTTCTATGGAACACCGTAGTCACGAGGCAAATAGCTTACCAATCTGAGCCAAATGAAGATGGACCCTTCCGCTAGAACCCAGCAGATACACGCCACTTACGCAATGTAAGGGCGCAGCTCGGTACCGGAGCCCGACTTTTGTTCCACCCCGCATCGCTCGGTACCGGCGACCGACTTTCGTTCCACCCCGCATCGCTCGTTCCCGGTAGTAAGGTCTCCTCCTCACTCTCTCTTTGCGCTCCTTACCCCTCTGGCTTTCTCCGCATAACCCCTTTTCTTAGATAGGCCCGCCGATGTCCAAAGTCACACTGAAGCCCCTCAATCTCGCCCAACCGCGGTTACAAGCGGGCAAACACGATCTTGTGCCTCGCGACTCCCCTCCTCCTTTTTACACACGTCCGCTCTTTCACTGGCTCACGCACACTTACCCGCCATTTGCGCTCTTCGACCAGATCAGAGGGATGGATCTTCCCTTAGATTAGGGGAAGATACAACGCCTAGCGAGCATGGTTATTTGCGGAGAGCACTGCATGGTTATTTGCGGAGAGCACTGCCTGGATCGCGAGTGCCACCACGTGCAGCAGTCACTCACGTTTGGATCGAGCATCAAGAGAGATCCTGACGACAAAACGTACTAACCTTCACCGCAATGTAGCCATTAACCCAACCAACGGATGAGCGGAGAGATGATGTGCAACGCACCGAGCCCGAGGACAAGCACCACGGCCGTAGATAGAGACAAGTCTAACGAGTGGGGCGAAGGAAGCATGAGCATAATGAACACCCACACGAAGCAGTCACAAAAGCATGTGCGATCCCGGGCAGCAAACGCTCTAGGAACAAAAAAAAACTTATGGGTTTCATCCTTGCGCAGGGGCCATGACAATCTTCTTTGTATCGATCCAATTTTAACGGATGCCTCGAAGAACTGGATCGTGGACCATGGCCTCAGGATATCATCAACGAACCGACCTTCCCCAAGTAATTCAGGAATATTTGGTTTCACTCACCACCTTCTATTGTTTGGATTCAAACTTGGATCTGTATTTAGACACGTCACGGGTGTACCAAATGAGCTAAACCAGTTGGTCCGAGCACCAGTCCCGGAACAAATGCCTCGGGACACCGCCTTTGAACCGGCCGGTCCCAAGCAATTCAGAATTATAGTAGCATTTCACTCGTTAACTTTCAGTGGAGTTCGAACTCAAGGCTGTATTTCAAAAGTTCTGGGATGTACCAGCTGCATTAGGCCCGTTGGTTGTAGCAGCCAGTCCTAGTACCAGCCCCGGTAGTTAACTAGAAAAATAACAACAAAAATAAAAATGAAGGTAAAAATCAAATAAAGAGGAAAACCGTGGGGTGTACCAGCTGCATTAGACCCGTTGGTTGTAGCAGCCGGTCCTAGTACCACCCCCGGTATCATGTCCCAAAAACAGGACCGGTACTTAACTAGAAAAATAACAACAAAAATAAAAATGAAGGTAGGAAAATAACAACAAAAATAAAAATGAAGGTAAAAATCAAATTAAGAGGAAAACGGTACTTAGGGGGAAGAGGGAATTGTTGGCACCCTCTCGGCCCCACCTATCGGGACCGGCAAGCAAAACTAAAGGGGATAGCCTCGCTAGACCCTCACCCCCTCGGCCCTTGGCATGGTGTTCCTTTGCTCCCTTGTTGGTGGTTGTTTGGCCTTGCTCCTCGAATCCTCCTGATGAAAATTTAACACTGTAACCAATAGTGCTAGGCCCAAGGCTGATGCTAACGACTGCAAAAATTATATGAAGGGTACCACGTCGTGCGTGAGTCTACTGAAACCTCCCATGGCCACACCTTGGCCCATCGGCCGACCCTCACGGCCTCCGAACCCTCATTCGCCCACGACCCGGTTCCGCTTATGACTGCCGTGCACACCTCTTATTACACCAAAGTCTCCCTTCTAAAAGAAATCACTATGGTACCCCATCGGAAAACATGGTGCATAGAAAAACTCACAGTGCCTCTCTTTGCACTATATGCTACACGATTCCAGTATCACCCTAGTGAAGCCATAACAACTCCAAGCCGTGATACCGAAGTCATCTTTCGACGTCGGCCACGGCAGATGCTGCCTCTGTTCGCACGCACACGCCACAGTCAAATGTACCGATCAAAAGAAAAACTTTTAGTCCTAAGTTAATCAAAAGCAAAATGTTGACCGCCGGATCCGCCGGCTCCATAATATCAATAAGAAAAATCATGCGCGCCTCGAAGCTGCACGCCCACACATTCCCTATGCTACTCCTCTGACACCGGTGGGGTTTTTCTTTAAAAAAAAAAAAAAAAAAGAACAGACAGCTGGTCACAAAAGAAAACTGGCCGCAGCCCGAGACGCACCCAATCATTCGCATCCAACTTTTAATTCAAAATCTCATTTCTGTCACTTGCAAAAAACAGGGCGGATACCCTTGTAAGGGTATTTGCACCGACACCAGGCGGCCCGGCTGGTAGCCTAGTTTGAGACCAAATTTTGTGTTTGACGACTTCAAACATGGTGCTGATAATGTGAGCTTCTCACGAGTGGGTTCATTGCACCGATTTTGTGCAAGGGTGTTTTTTTTTTCTTTCTTGATTAGCCTAGAGAAATTCATTCAGCCAGATTAATCTGCACAGAAAAGGCGGGCTGATATCTCTCTGTGCTGTCTAGGCTTAAAACTTCAAACCTTTTTTTTTTTTTTTTAAGCTTCAAACTTTGATGTTGTTGTGTGGTCCTGCTCTTGCAGACTCCTGTCGTGTGCTGGGTAAAACACAGTGCCAGAAGGAGACGCGCTGTAGATGGAGAGGTTCAGAGCGGCATGGATACTGCATTGATGGTAGGAAAGTAATCCCCTTTTTCTCTATGCCTCTCCTTTTGTCCTCCCTTGGCGTTTTCCGGGCTTCCCTTCCTGTCGTTCTCCTCTTCCCGCCTTCTCTCTCCTAACTTCCCTGATCCTTCGCTTTCTCCGTACGTTCCCTTTCTTGCTCCTCTTCTTTGTCACTTAACGAAGTTAACGCGCTTTCCTAATAAGGTCCCCCCTTTGTTTACTGTTCCTCCACTCCTTTCTGTCGCTAGTTTTTTGGGGTAGCTTTCCTGTCGTACTTCCCTCTCTTCGACAGCCTACTCGCCCCTCTACCTGTGTCTTCTTTCTTTCTCGTCTTCTTCGTTCCTGTTGCTTGCTGTTGTGCTTTGTCCTTTCTTGTCCGTGATGGTGATTGCCTCAGCTATGGTCTCTGACTCGCCATGCCCGAAGGCGTGGTGCTCACCTGTGGTTTTCCTGCCTCGATTCAAAGTTTTTGCGCGACAAAAATTCCCGCGGTCGGTGCGGTGAAACAACAAGCGCGGTTGTCCCCGAGGGAGGCTGGGTATTTTCGGGCTGTTGACTGAGAGGTCGTGTGCGTGTGTGCGTTAGCGCTAAGTTGCTAACCTCTGGCGCTAGCGCTCCTCAAGGAGAAGTCCGCTCACAATGTATTCTCTACGTCGTCAAGGACAGACTGATCCTTTTACCTTCATCTTCATTCCACACTCCTTAATTTCCATTACTGTCCCTTTGTCATTCTTTATTTTGTCTTCTCTCCATCTCTCTTCTCTGTGGTTATCCCCTCCCCCTTTGCTCTGCCTCGTTCTCACAGATTGTGTCATAACGGCTCACTTGTTCGCTGAAGGGGGAGTTTAACGAAAATTGAGAAAAATGAATGGTTTCAGTGTGCTTTTTATGTTTGTCTCGGGTTTTGTTTTTAAATTTTAATCGTTTGTTACGCAAAGTGCATTTTTTTAGTTCACACACACACACACACACACACACACACACACACACACACAGAGAGAGAGAGAGAGAGAGAGAGAGAGAGAGAGAGAGAGAGAGAAAGAAGAGTTGAGGCGAGCAGCGGCGAAACAGCCCGAGCATGCACGAGAACAATCCGACCCAGTGTACCGAATAAGAGAGTCAAAAGCTCACTGGTTACACGAACACATAACATCGAAGGTCTGATGCGTCCTTAATGTGGGAGAACACCTCCCATCAGCAAAGCGGTTCCATCTACTGGTTTCATCTCTCCGCACAGACTCATCAGGAGGGTGGAAAATCCTTCTGCTGGAAGAGACGGCTTACTGCCATGCCGTCTGATATTTATACTTGTGTTCTGGCTACACCAGCGAAGAGCGCCGAAGATGTCTATACCAGCATACGTACGAGATGTCAACTCTTAATGAGAGAGAGAGAGAGAGAGAGAGAGAGAGAGAGAGAGAGAGAGAGAGAGAGAGAGAGAGAGAGAGAGAGAGAGAGAGAGAGAGAGAGAGAGAGAGAGAGAGAGAGAGAGAGAGAGAGAGAGAGAGTGCCCGGCATAAGGTTGTCTGCCACAAAGTCTTCTTCTTTGCTTTATGCCAGGCCAATGGGGGGGTAATGGCCCTCATTCTGCGGCGGGATGTTTTTCCTCTTGTATGGTTAGCATTCCCTCTGTTTCCTGAATAGAAAGCTTTCCAAATCTTTCAGGCCTTCACTTTCCTTTGGAGAATGCAACAGTGGGTCTTTTGACTCTTTATCTTTTTATTGTCAGTTTCCCCTTTCTGTTTCTCATCCTAGGACCATGTCCTCCCATCTAGACCCTGGCCTCAGCATTATCAAGGCATGACACTGTCAGACTATTGCTTGATTCATTGCATGTTTGCACTCCACGGGAAGCTGATTGTCTGCTCTGTACAAGCTTTGGGAGCTCGATGTGGGCTGGGTGAATGAAGGATACCAGAAGTCCTATCAGTCACGATTGTTTCACTATGACGGTCGGGCCAAGACTTCATCCCTCAAACCGGATGCCCTAAAACCAGCCAGCCCGTGCTGCTGAATGGGACACACAGGTAACCGTTTGTAATGAGATCAGAGAGTTCAAGTCCAGATGGAATCTGGTGAATAAAATAATACGAGGTGCTACCCCTTTTGAAAAATAAACAGGATCGAAAACCATGGAGTAGTTGAATTTTAAAGTGGAGAGGGGAAGCCTGCACTATTTGGTCTGTTTCACCATTTCTGTAATCGGGCTGAGGGGTATGTCCTACGGTTGCTACGTTCGTGCTTGAAAGTGTGTCTAAATATTTTCAAGGTTCATGGCATTTGGTTTTTAGCACAAGCATAGCACCAATCGGACCTGGCACTGCATAGTTTAGACTGTTATACCCTTATTGAACTGTGTCGAGAGAACATAATTTTCCCCCTCAGTGCCCTCACGTCCACTATCTCCGTCTATCCATCTGCATGCCTGCCTGCCTGTCTACTGCTTTTTCTATCTCTGCTGTCCCTACAAGTCACCTCTAACCCCTTGTTGCCCTCATGTCCACTATCTCCGTCTATCCATCTGTATGCCTGCCTGCCTGTCTACTGCTTTTTCTATCTCTGCTGTCCCGACAAGTCTCCTCTAACCGTTTGGGACTTCATCCATTTTCCTGGTTGTCTTTGCAATGGCATCTATGCAAGCGAAGCTTTCGACGCCTGCTATAGTGCAACAAGAGAAGAGTGTGAACATACTCAGGACAAGAACGGCAAAGCGTGTGTTTCAATATCTGCCTGCATCGATTCCTGTGTGGGTTGCGGCGATTGCATGTCCCAAGTTGCCCAGTATATCGCTACTTCGCAGAGTCCTGACGCGCTTTCTATTTTCTGTCAAGCTTTTGCTGGAGCACAAACTGACGACCCACTGGTATGACGTCTCTAATTAACCTCCCCTGCTTTTCAAATGGAGTAGTGATTGATCAAAAGCTCGAAACACATCCTTTGTAGATACAACTTCCAGAACTCAGAACCGCAGCCAGGCATTTCAATGCAAGTGGAAAGACTGTTTGTCCTCTCTGTTGTTTTAGGACTGAAGGGCCAGATGGCTTGGGATAAACCAAGAGTCCTCGACAAGGTACACGAGAGTCCTAGTAACTAAAGATGGCCTCGATAGACCGGTGGCTCACACCTTGTTAACTAACAAAGTAAACAAAATGGGTAAATGGAGCCAACATTCACTTCAAGGGCACTAGTCATCAATGCTTCTGTCTTCTTCATGATATGATATGCAATCAGACTGGCCTTCTTCTCACTTCGCATGCAGGCAGATGACAAAGCACACTGGCGCCAGGCGCCCACACAAAGCTCAGAGATATTCAAGCCGAGAACACAGTTCGGCTACAAACTCGCTTCAATTGGCTATGACGTCCGAGCACCCACAGTTCAATTCCCAACTTGGTATTCACGGCAACTGTTTACACACACTCAACTCTGGATCTCCCTGGATATCCCACGCACACACACTCTGTTTACACGCCAGATTGTTAGCCGTTCGACGTGTCACTATGGACAACTCTTCGACGAAAATGGAATTACACGCACACGCACACTCTCACTACCACCTATCGCTAGCTATGGCAGCTATGGCCGCTGGCTACATCTAACTACAAGCAGCGATGGCTGCTCTGACTCCGCCTCATCCCACTTCGACTTCGGGCATCTGCAGACCACCTCGCACAAGACACTAGGGCAGCGCTTCCGCATGGCTCACACAGAAAGAGTGAATGGCTGGACGCTGCCTCTTGATTTATACTTCTGTAAGTCGCTGGTCGGCCCCTTTCCACCGGGCCCATGGTGCACACAGTCCCACATGGTACTTGCTAACTGGACAAAGTGAGACTGGGACTGGGTACCGCTGACTAAGCAAAGTTGGACTACCCACTTGCCCACTTGCCCCTGGTCTAACGTGAGCAAAACTCGAAATGCCACTTCCGGACCTTCCGGAAGTCTGTGGACTTGGCCTTTCGGGACTGTAGCAGCTACGACCTTGACCTTTCAGGACTGTAGCAGCTACGACTTGACCTTTCAGAATTGCAACTACTATGACCTCTACACCGGTATGACCCCTACTTCGACAGGTCTACAGTTCAAGTCCCGACAGCTACACAGACCTACAACAGACTACATTCAGCTACCAAAACACAGGTCACGGGTTCAAAACACACAGGGGCGACTTAATACTGTACACGGGTGAGGTAAGGTTTAGGGATCGAACCCTGGGATCTGCATCTGTCACTGCAAAGGTGAAAACCGTTTCACTCCCACCGTCCTAAATTCGAGGTCCTCCGAGAATACTTCAGTCCAAGGCTGGACCTTTACCTTTTTTATCCCTCTCATAGGCTCAAACTACATCGGGATCGGTCTCAAGAAGCTCTATTCTTGTGAACCAGCGGTCGTCTTCTGGTTCCTGAAAAGAGAATCTAACTTTATATTGTTTCTGTGGACGCCCTCTACCTCCTGTTCTGAATACATCTTCACCTACTATGCGGTCAATGTCGTACCTCCCATCCATGTCCGAAGGGATCATGGACCTTCGTGATGGAAACTGTTGACTTGTGGTACAAGGCAACAACTTTGACGCATGAAAAACTGGGTAGGTGTGGAGGTGTGCTGGAATCTCGACTGTGTAGGATGGTCCATCCTCTCTGCTTTTGACTTCTAAGACTGGCCATGGTCCTCGGTATGCAGGCAATAACTTCTGCGAGATGTTTTCCTCAGGAGCAAACTCCTTTGATTTGACCCAGACTAAGTCGCCTACTTGCAATTGTGACGGGCGACGGTGCTTATTGGCTTGTTCTATCGTCTTGTGTTGGGCCTTCCTGAGGTTCTCTACAACGGTAGCTATCTCTCTTTCGTGCTGTATCGCAAACTCCCTCGTACCAGGCGGTAGTCTCTGGATCTGATCCCGGTTTAGTCCTTCAAACGGTCTACACGGCGTAAAGGACTTATGCAACTCATTGGGAGTGCGGCAGGTTGCTAAGTGCACGCTATTGTTATATGCGCTGGCTACCCTTGGGAGCATCTCATCCCAGTTGACTTGATCGGGTCTAATGTACATCCTAAGAACTTGTTGCAGGATCTTGTTCATCTATTCAGTCTGACCATTAGTCTCTGGATGACGGCCAGATAACATCAACAACTTAGAGCCATAGACTCTCATCAACTCCTGCCAGTTCTGACTAGTGAACCTGGTATCTATGTCACTAACTATCGACAACGGTAGACCATGCTCACTGACCCAATGATCGAAGAACTTTTCTATAACAAAACCAGTACGTGCCTCTGCGGGCAAAGGAACAAAAACTGCATATTTGCTAAATCTATCAACTATAACCATGACTTGGCTCTTGCCATGCCTACTCCTGACCCCAGCATCCATGAAGTCGATGGAGACAGAATCTCTAGGTCCCGCGTGAATAGGCAATGGTCTGAGAAGACCAAGGGGGGCTCGCGTAGTGGTTTTATTCCATTGGCACACCTTACAATTGCATACATACTCTATGCAGTCGGCCTTCGTACCAGACCACGTATACGTGCGAATAAGGTTGGCTAATGTCTTCTGCCAACCAAAATGTCCGTTTGTGTTGTGGCGTTCCCCTAAGATCAAACTACGGATCTCTTCGCTGTTGGAAACACATAAACGATCGACTACACTAGCCTTCTCGAATAACAACCCGTCTGTTGTGCAGTAATCTGGTTTAGACTCTGGGGACTCCTTAACTCTTTTGAGGAGATCGCTATAAATAGGGTCCTACGCATAGGCTTCCTCAACTTTTTGTTGCAGGTCTCTCCCTATATCCAGCTAGTGAACTGTCGCTCCAAAGTAATCAGCTCTCCTACTTAGAGCATCCGCAACTACATTATACTTTCCTTTGACTCGCTTGAGCTCAAAGTCGAACTGGTTTATCTCTGCGGCCCACCTAGTAAGCTTAGGTGTCGTCTTAACCTATGTCTTTAACCACCTCAGCGGCTCGTGGTCTGAATACACTTTGAAGTGCCTCCCAAGCAAGTAGTGCTTCCAGTCATCCAATGCTTGCCTGAGAGCGTAGAGTTCCCTCTCATAGGTTGATGTCGCTACCTTCTTTGAAGGCATCCTAGTAGACATGAACTCTACGGGTCTATACCCATCACCTTCATCTTGTTGTAAAACAGCACCTATACCGTACTGACTTGTGTCAGTGGTGACAACAAAAGGTAACGACGGATTGGCTACCTTGAGGACTGGGTACTCTATCAAGGCCCGCTGTAGTTTCTTCAGGGCCGACATACAATCTTTATCCCATTCCCAGATCGCTTTTTTCTTTAACAATCTGCGAAGGGGTGCAGCCAGTGCCGTACCACCGGTCACCGTTCACGGCGTCTGTGGACGGAGACCGGTCATGGAGTTCACCCCGTTCACGACAGGGGAGTTCATGGAGTTCACGGAGAGCGTTTTTTTTTTTGTTTTTTTTTTTTTTTGGCTGGGGGGGTATGTTTTTTTTTTTATAGGAGGGTGGGGGACATCGAAGGGCAACTCCCTGTACTTTTTTCAAAAAAAAAATTCATGAATAATTATTTTTTTTAATTAAAAATGAAAAAAAAATCAACCAGCCAAAATAAGCATTTTCGTTTGCTATTTTGTAGGTCATTTCGATTTATTTATTTTTTTCAATGTCATCACGCTGTGGGGCTTGAGGCGAATGTACCTGGGGGAACCCAAGAAAAAGAAAAAAAAAAAAAAACACCACCACTCTTTAGTAAACGCCACTCTTTAGTGGTCGGCCCGTTCACAAAAAAAACACCAAATGAACGGTCGGTCACGTTCATGTGACCGGTTCCGGCCACCCTCACGGGTACGGCACTGGGCGCAGCGATGGTGGAGAAGTTCCTCACAAACTTTCTATAGTAGTTTGCTAAGCCTAGAAATGACCGCAACTTTGTTNAAAAAAACACCAAATGAACGGTCGGTCACGTTCATGTGACCGGTTCCGGTCACGGTCACGGGTACGGCACTGGGCGCAGCGATGGTGGAGAAGTTCCTCACAAACTTTCTATAGTAGTTTGCTAAGCCTAGAAATGACCGCAACTTTGTTAATGTGCGGGGAGTCGGCCAATCTCGAATCGCCGCTATCTTACTGTTCTCAGGTTTTATGCCATCTCCATCTAAGACGTGGCCCAAGTACAGAATTTGTGTCTTGGCCCAAGTACGAATCTCAGCTTCTCCAAGACCTGCCTCAGATGGCTCTCATGCTCCTGGAGGGTCTTGCTAAAGACTAGAATATCCTCTAGATATACTAGTACAAATCTATTTAGCCACGGTCTAAACAAATCATTCATGCAGCGCTCGAATGTGACTGGCGCATTAGTTAGTCCAAAGGGCATAAACTCGTAGTGCCCATACCTAGTTTTGAATACCGTCTTATTTTGATCATCAGGATGTACCTCTATCTGATGATAGTCAAATTTCAAATCTATCTTAGAGAAGTACTTGCAGCCCTGCACCCGGTCTAATAGATCATCTAAATAGGGCAGTGGTTCTGCATTTTTCACTGTGACAGCATTAAGACCCGTATAGTCTATGCACATTCTAAGCTCTTCCTCCTTTTTGGGGACAAAAAGAACAGGTGCTCCAAACGGAGACGAACTGGGCCTAATCCAACCCTTTTCTAGGAGCTCGTCTAACTTCTTACGTAACTCTTCTAACTCCCTTGGGGACATTCCGTAGATGGCTCCCTTAGGGGTCCTATTACCATGCTCTATCTCAATGCGATGCTGGATGGGCCGCGACACTACTCCTGTAGGCGGCTCATACAAGTTTGTGTACTCTTCCAACAACTTGGCAATAGTTCAGTTAATGGGTTCCTCTTCCTTAGGCTTAGTAACAGGCCTTGCATAGGCTACAAAAACATGTTCCTCTAATTGCTCCTTTTTCACTAAGCATGCGAACGCGGGAGCACTGAGGCAGCAATGTGCCAGGGGGTTATCTACTCCTGACACATAAAACAGGCGAGCAGTCTTCACTTCGCCTGATGGACTAGGGAGCATGCTCTCTCAAGTGGAGTGTGCCCCCTGCTGCCTCTCCCCAGTCCATTCCTAGGACCATGTCGAATGGGAGGTTGTTTTCTACGAGGAGAGAGTCGGGGAATGGAGAACTCTCTCTACCTTCCCATCTTTCTCTAG